TGTTACTCTACGTTTGCTGCACTTCAGCATACATGAAGTAGCAATTTCAAATGAAATGGGGCACTGATTCCCGAGATTTGTGTAATAGAAAATTCGAGATGGAAGTGCATGTATAGTCTACGTGGCGGCCATTTGTGGACTCTACAAGGAACCACCTTAAAGGTAGTTTTAGAAAGCGCTCTAAGAGATTTTAGACTTTCACTCCAAGTCACTTTTGTGAGTTCAAATTCAGGGTAGAATTTTTAAGTTTATTTCTCGAGAATTGCAAATCGGTTGTGAAGATCACACTATCGAGACCGGACCGAGGTATCCAGCCTCGGTAACGGCTACACGAATCCGCGATGCTGCTATTCCTGCAGCTGTTGCCGCTTCTGCTGGCTTTCAAAAATTCAATAGTATCAATAGTAGAGGGCTTTTATAGTCCAGCTGTCACCATCCAAACATTATTTTTCACTGAGTATTGACTAAAATGGCTACTTCGATGTTTTCCTTTCGTACTGTTTCATTTCAGTTGCACGCATCCCCATGACAATTTAAAGCACCCTCGCATTCAATGCAATCCCATTAGGAATCCCATATATTTTTTTTTATCCTTACTCAATTTTCGTCAAGATGACAAATTCAAAAAACTCTCTTCAATTACATTATTTTTACAGGCAAGCATGGTAAAATAGAATGCATCTGAATGAGTGTCGTTCCCCCTGACCTCTATGCTTATACACACCACAGACAAACAGACATAACACATTTAATATTTCTCATTGTAAAACATCGTCGCTAAAACATTACCGCCATCTGTTGAGTACACTGTGGTGGGTAGTACGCTGAACAGATGGCGGTAGTGTGTAAACGTCAAACGCACGGGAATTGACTATGCACGCCACAGGTGGCAGTAGACCGTTAATTGCTTGTTCGATGAACAACTTATGTGTGTTATGTCTGTTTGTCTGTGTACACACCAAATTTAAGTTTTCAATATCAGTAAAACGAATTGCTGCACGGTAAGAAAAAAGTACCCAACGGAAAGTTCACTTTTACCTACTATTGACTAGTTTGTCTCCTTTTCTCCTTCTAATGTTGTCAAAAACGGAGGAGCAAAACCACCCAACAGGGGTAGTAAAGTGTGGGAACCCAACGTTGAGTATAATCATATTTACCTACTGTTGGGTACAACTAACTTACTTTTGGTTAAAAAGCCAGTGGAAAATTCCATACGAACTGCACACAAGTAAATGAAAATTACTTTGACCCGCTTTACCTACTTTTGGGTTCCTGCACTATAGTGCCGAGATGAGTGAAAAGAACTTAATTTTGGGTACTTTTTTCTAACAGTGTGGAGCATGACCAGCAATCCAATGCTTTATTGAAAAACAACACGCTGTCAAACTGTTAGCATCACAGTCGCAAGTATTGTTACATTCGTACAGCACCATTCAAACCGCAGGAGGAGGAAGAGCTAAAAAAAACTACAAATGGATAAAATTATGTAGGTAAGGACTCTGGCTCGGACACTGGTTATATTTAATAAACGATACTTGGAAAGGAGTCTTGCGATTTTATCATTATTATTCGTATATTTACAGAAGCTGGAAGCTCATATAGTGAAAAAAAAATTCGATTTACTGAATTTAATTGTTTAATCAGCAAAATGCTGCCAAATGTCAAAATTTTTAATTGCTGAAAGATCAGTAAAGAAATATTGCTGATTTTCAGTAAAAGGTTGTCATTTTGACAGAAGTTGGAATTGACCACTTTGTCAAGCAGTTTTGGCGTGACTTTCTACCAGCGATTTCACAAAACTGGAACAACTAATTTCAATTTTTTTATGAAACGCACAAATGTTGGCTACTTTTCTCGAGGTTCTAGAAGAAAAAATCTCAAAATAATGTTTTATTTCAAAGTTCGAGTGGTAGTAAACGTCATTTTAAGTGCTCGAATAAAATGGTCAATTGCTGAAAAATTCAGCAGCATTATTTTTTCTGGAACGTTTGCTGATCTTTCATCAAGTGTAAAATCAGCAAAATTTTGCTGATGTTCAGTGATTTAAATTTGGTGTGTATATTCCATAAGAAAAACCACATAGGTCCTATAAGAATAATGCATAAAAGGTATGTGTGGCCGCTTATACATTTTATTTGACACATAATCTTTATTAACTTTTTGCATGGCGTCTGCTTATTTGACTTATACATTTTTTGAATAATCAGCAATAGAAATTTGCCAAAAAGTATAAAGAGATTTTTATCCGTGTAGCAGCTATGTTTACGGTAGAGTATGATGTACACTCCCACAATTACAGCATCAATGATAATCATTTCACGAACGTATAAAACAATCGTTTCGAGCTACGCCAAACGGCTCCTGGATCTTTGGATTGTTTCTGACAGCACCTGTTCGATTATGTTTACTCGAAATACTCAGAGGGAGAGATGGGCGGAGAGAATGTTTTGAGCCAAATGAACTTTCAAAATCTGAGCCTATCGAACATTCCAATTAGAATTTCCCCGAGGATTTCTTATTCTTACTAGAATAAATTTGAGAGTATTGCCACCGACAAACCGACATGAATTACCATAGCAAAAACAATAAAATTTCTGACCAAAGCACACTACTTACTTCTGGCTCCGTGTTCACGGGAAATATTAAGCTAAACTATGAACCCCATGCAAAAGTTATGAATTGGTTCGTGTATGATCTATTCTGGACAAATTATTTTTATCTAGATCAAAAAGTCCTATGGATTTGACAGTTCGGATCACTGCACATTCAAATCGGCCGTTTACGATTTTCGGGCATTAGTCAAAATTAAGTGTCATGTCGGTTTGTCGGTGGTATTGCAATCAAACAGAAATTCAATCACCTCTATGTTTTGTGTGTTTCTCAAATTCAACTAGTTTTTGGAACCAAAAACAATATTCTAACTCTATTGATTAATTGATCTTCGTTGGTTAATGAATGGCACCAAGAAATGTGCAAAATATTGCGATGCAATCAATTATTATTTTGCACGTAAATCGAATCAAAAATAAAAGTCATTTGAAATGCTAGCTTCTAGCAAGGGTTACAAGATAATTTAGGAACCAATCCCTGCTGCTAAATTGTATTTTGTTTTTTTCCGCCTATCTCTCCCTCTGCACGAAACGAAAATCAATTATTTCAGTGCTAACATTTGAAAACGGCGCAAAAGCCATTTGTAAACAAATGGTTTGTGGGCCCTTTACTCGCTTCCCGAAGAACGCCCACGCAAACCAACAGCATCGTCAGGAAGGGGAAAATTTCCCCTACCCGATGTTGCTGTTGTGTCGCGTGGGTGTACTTCAAGTAGTGAGTAAAGGGCCCACAAACCATTTGTTTACAAATGGCTTTTGTGCCGTTTTCAAATGTTAGCACTGATTTAATTCATGTGTTTCACTTATACATTTTTGCCAAAGCATCAGCCTTATACATTCCATAAGACAAACCACATAGGTCCTATTAGAATGCATAAAAGGTATGTGTGACGGCTTATACATTTCATTTGACACATGATCTTTATTAACTTTTTGCAAGGCGTCTGCTTATTAGTTGACTTATACATTTTATGAATAATCAGCAATGGAAATTTGCCAAAAGGTATAAGGAGATTTCTATCCGTGTGAGTATTTCTAATGTTTACCTGGGTACTGCGAACACAGCCGTTTTTGTTTTGCAAGTCAGCAGGAAACAACTTGAAAATTTTCCGATATCACAAATTGTTTTGCTAATGCACTGCTCACAATTTGCATATACATGCTGTCGAAAGTTCACCCTTTGCTCCATAAATAACGTGTACATGGTGTTGGGAGTGCACCTACCCACATGACTCTTATAAAGTTTGTTTGCATTCTTCCTTCAGCAGTTCGTGCAGGTTCGTCCGTTCGTTACATTGTTTACATCCGAGTATTTGAGCAAGTTTTTTGTTGAAGAATATTAGTAAAAAAATGCCGAAATGACAATATTTTCAACATTGACCACGATACTTTCTCTGCCGACGGGGATTGTATGAGAAAAGTATCACTTTTAGCAGCTCTAGATCGTTGGATTCTTTTTGACAGCACCAGTTGGATTCTTTTTGACAACCATTTCGTGTTTCTCCGCACCACTCAGATGTTTACAACTATTTCGAAACTTATGATTTAATAGCACCTGAGTTTAACATCTTGGCGTATTTATTATACAATAACGGCTAGCATCTCTTAAACCACATGCACGACGCACACACCCTTTCGATAAATATGTTCAAAACATAAACAAAGCATCATGCGCAAAGCATAAGTGATGCAACAGCATAAATTTCAATACTTCACGTGCAATTAATTATTATTCTGTTTTTCAGTATATACTGTTCATCACAAGGCAGTAGTGTGTCATGTTGAGAATCCTGATCCGATCACGCCGGGGACTGTTTGCCACTAGGTCGACACTAGCACGGTTGTCGTTTTCCTCTTCAGCAAAACCGGAAGCCGCGGCGGCCGCTGATGAACGAGCAAGTCGAAGTAGTTTGAACGTGAAGCTCCTCCGGCACCCGACCAAAGTTCCCCAGATACCGCACATTTCCGACATCGACAGACAGCAGCGGTTGAATCAACCGGCACGAATTGCGGTGGACGACCAGACGGTTCAACTGTTGGAACGATTATCCTTGGTGGACCTGGATAGCAAGTAAGTACAAATAGGCTATTTTTATCCAAACCGGACGGTGATATGAATACAGAATGTTCAAAACAGGGAAGCCCACAAAACGCTGGAAGATTCGATCGAATTCGCATCACGTATCCTCACCATTGACACTGAAGGAGTGGAACCACTGTACACGGTTCTTGAGAAGCAGAAGCTAACATTGCGGGAGGACGTCGTGTCGGATGGGAACATTCAGGAGGATGTGCTAGCGAACGCGTGCGTTACCGAGGAGGAATATTTTGTAGCCCCTCCGGGTAATATCCCACTGGAGCAAGATTCCAGTGGCAAGCACAAACAGTAAGATGGCAAGGTTGATGGCCGGGGGGTTGGGACTGAGTTTCCGACAGTTACTGGAAGCTTGTAAAGGTAGTAAATTCTTAGATTTAGAGTTGAGAGATGGAATTTTGGGTGGATTCGCGTTGACGCCAATTGGAAGGATGCTGAGGAATAACTTGAAAGAGGAGTTCCGTCGTGGAGAACCGGGAATGGCTGTGTATGAGGGAAGCTCTGGAATTTCGCTGGAGAAAAATCTTCGATTCGTGCAGGACACTTTTGCAACGGATCTTCCCTTTGGAATCACCGTTGAGGAACTTTTTGAGGATAGAACTGTTAGTCTCTACGAAAACTATGGTTTCCATTTGGAAGGAGGATCATTGCTGTCGTGTTCATACTTTGTGAATCCAACGATGAGCATGGAGTTCATGTACAAAGCTCAACGTCAGCGGAAGATCTGGTGGATGCGGTTCGCTTGCGATCCCGGCCGGTATTTCATTTCCGATCTTCGCCAGGATGCGGAAAGTAAAGTGCAATCGGTGGCTATCAAAGCTCGATTTGCCGGGGAAGAAGTGGCACTGGAACAGCTGGAGTTGATACCCGGAAGTGTGATGCGTGAAGAAATGGGTGATTTTCAGGTGAAAATCGGAAAATCTAGCAGAAAAATTACACCCAATGTTCTGCGGGTTAGGCAGTGTGTGGAACTGGCCACGTTGGAGGTTATTTTGGATGCGTTCGAGAATTCTGGAACCAGCAGTGTGCGAATCCATCGGAAGCTGGCACCGTACAAGTGTGGGATCATATGTCTGTCTGAAGGTGAGTAGATTTCCAAATGATTTAAATTGCCTTTAGTTAATTTCGCCCTATCTTACCAGCAGACCCATCTCAACTGGAAGAGCTGCGAGATCTGGCCAAACACCTTAGCAATGTTTTGAGGAAAGCAAACATCACCGTCTTGGACTGTTCCTCCCAGAACGGAAGCAGCGAACGGTCATTGAACAAGCAATTGAGGCACCTGGATTCCATAGCAGTTCCCTACAGCTTGCTTCTGCAAGAGCAAAGTCTCCAGAACGGTCTGTTTCAGCTTCGCTCCCGGGATACGACCATCAGTGAAACGATCCACATTTCCGATTTACCGGATTATTTATTGAAGATTATAACCAGTTAGTGGAAAGCACACACGCGCCTTTATTCAATCGATATAGACTAAAAGAAATCACACAAATACTGCCGCACGTTGAATCCGACCATTTTGCCGATGTGCGTGATAAAGTCCATTCCGATGGTGCACTGTAATCGGGCACTCCCGTCCATGATGGTTCCCTCACCGGAAGCAAATATCAAAAACTTCAAATGGATTAGCGTCGATATCTGCGCCAACAGATTACAGGTAAGCCCAACCTTTTCATCCAAAATAGCGTAGAAGATTGCCAGCAGTCGATCGATGGTGAATGACTTCGGTCCCAGCTGGGTGGCCATCTTCTCCGAAACCTTCGCCTTCGCATTAACCGACTGAAGCCGTTTCTTCTGCTTGCCATGATTCTTCATGAACAACCGCTTGTCCTCCTTGGCTGCGTTGTGACTGGCCAGGTACGCGGCTATCAGAAGGTACTTGGCATAGAATGGGAGTTCTAGGTTTTGGGCGAGCCGCTTCATGATTTGTACCTGCTCGAGTGATTCCGCCGATTCCGATGTTGGACGAAGCAGTTCCTTATTGATGTTCCCCATCCGCATGTAGATCGTACTGAGGGAAAGCTTCATCGTTTTGGAAATGTGCCGCCATAGTTTGGTTACATCGTCCGGGGCAATTGATCCATCCAGCACAGGCTCACAGTATTTTTGGAAACACTCAAACGATACCAGCTGCAGTTCCTTGAGATCGCGACACACCTTGAAGAATACGTTCAGGAAGATGTTCAGGTAATTTTCATAAAATCCGGACGTCAGGTCCAATAGTACTTTGACTCGCTTTTCGATTTCTTCCTCGGACAACGCTGCTTGTTTCGCAGATCTGAAATTCAACAATCCATCATTAGAGCAGCTCAATGCCAAACACATCTATATCCCTCACCCATCAACCATCAACTCCAAGTTCACTCTCAACTCCTCCCGCACCTTCTCGAAACCCTCCATCATTATCACTACAATATCCTTTTTGCTGTATTCCGGCACGAACACCTTGATCACCGGCGACAATCCCGTCCTGATAAAGTACTTCTCGAAGGGCAAATCCGAGACCAGCACTACCGAAATGTTCAACCCGCTAACCTCTGGCAGTCGTAACAACATCGGTAGCACATTGTGATCCATATCCCGCACCCGTTCGGCATTCTCCAGAACAATCACGTACCCACATTCACCGTCCATCCGTTGCAACTGTCCGACGAAATCCCGCATACAGTCCGCACTCACCAGAGAAGCGAATCCATTGTCCGCACTAGGCATGTGACCTTCCAACCGGTTGATAATCGTTTCAAACAGTATCTTATTCGTGTAGCACTCGATGGCATTAAGAAACGCGTACTTGGTGACCCCCAGGTGCGGAAGAAACTCCCTCAGAATTGAACTTTTGCCGGTGGATGTGTGTCCGAATAGGTAAATCGCCGGTGGAAATGGGTCACCTGCTCCGTAGAAGCGGTACAGCTGTCGGATTAGTTTCTCACGGCAGGGAAAGTGCTCGCTCAGCGCTTTTACCGTGCTTTCCATTTTAGATCGGCGTTGATTGCAAACTATAATAATTTTTGATGTTAGGCACTGTTTTATGATCGATTATTTTCCAATGCTATGCTGTTTGTTGACTATTTTGATTCGGCTTTTCGCGCCTAGATAGTACCGCTGCAAACTCACAGGCGCCTGTGTACCGCTTGAAACACATTGATGGCTAACATACGTTCCACACACTGGAAAAATTAACTGCTCTTCGAAATGAAAAAAAAAAATGCTTTAAAAGCGAACCCCACACGTACCAATATATTGATGCGAAGGGGAATTATTGGCAATAATATTGATGATGTGACTAGAAATACTCAGAGGGAGAGATAGGCGGAGAAAACAAAATACAATTCGGCAGCAGGGATTTGTTCCTAAATTATATTGCAACCCTTGCTAGAAGCTAGCATTTCAAATGACTTTTATTTTTGATTCGATTTACGTGCAAAATAATAATTGATTGCATCGCAATATTTTGCACATTTCTTTCAATTAATCAATAGAGTTAGAATATTGTTTTTGGTTCCAATAACTAGTTGAATTTGAGAAGCACACAAAACATGAAAGTGATTGAATTTCTGTTCGATTGCAACACTCTCAAATATATTCTAGTAAGAATAAGAAATCCTCGGGAAAAAATCATATTGGAATTTTCGATTGGCTCAGATTTTGAAAGTTCATTTGGCTCAAAACATTCTCTCCACCCATCTCTCCCTCTGAGTATTTCTAGATGTGACTACATAAATATTTTCAATATCGATGTATTGACGTCAATAAAGAATGTATTGACAATAAAAGTAATAAAATCAATCGTGTGGAGTCCATTTAATTCCAGAGCAAGCCACAACCCGACCAACCATTCGTGAAGCTTCTTAAAAGTTCTTTACACAAAAATAAAGATTTTTGTCGCTAATTCTTTACTTTTAAGTTTCTTTGATTTCGATAAATATATTGACAGTGAGCCTGCATAAGGGCCTAACTGCTATGATCGATTCTCTTCATCGATCTTCTATTTAAATTGCTAATAAGTTATTTATTTTTTATTTTTTTACCAAACTGCACACTTAATCACGGGAGATCGAAGTAGGCCGAAAATGACGTGTTTTTGTTTTGCTGCGTCGTTTTCGTTCTGGTGAAAATGTTATAAATTTGCAATTTCATTTTTTAAAAGTTTTAATTTGAAAGTACAGAAGTGCATTAAGTGAAAATTTTCAAATTCTTATCCGTTGCATGTAGTGCCGACTGTTCTAACCTACGCGTAGTTACGCTCAGCTAAGTTTATTTACCTTTTCGTTCCTCCTTCGATGATCATTTCAACACTTACTAAATACACGTCAATCAAGTATTGTACTACTGCTTGATTGAAAGTTTCAGTACATTATCAATTGTGTATATTTGCATCGATAATTTATTGGAGCGGGGTTTATATCATGTGTAGAAATAGCTTCGGAATGCTTGCGTTCTTGAAATGGACTATTGTAGCTGCGGTAGAGCTGTCACCTTCTAAGACCGAGTTCAAGCTTCTTGCATTCATAAGAAATGATTGCAGGCAGATTTTATCCATAATGCCACTGCCAGACAGTGAAAGTTAGGCCAAGGACGAATCTTCATTCTAATCTACGATTCCACATACTATTAATAACCTCTTACACATGAGAACCTCCTATCGATCAGAATGCATTGTGCATATGTTTAGGATGCGCAAAGGAGCAACAGGATCGAGCTGATAACGTTTCTTTATTCCAAAATCTGAAGACTGTTTTGAATAATATATTTAGGTAATGGGCAGCAACAACGGACCGATAAACTACTTACAGCTTCTATTTATTAAATGCTTGATATAACCATTGCCAGCAACGCCGGCTGGGCGTATCCTATGGCTTACCCTCCCTACTAACAAAAATCCACCCTTCCCGTGACACTTATGAGGGGTCGTAAATTTCTCTGCATCTCTTTTAAGTAAGTGTCGGACTAACATTCCTACCCTTTCCCCACCAGATGCAAGGACGTGGCCAGGACAGCTCTGGTCTCTAATATGGATTAGTGTGCCATAAAAAAGGGAGCTCTGGTCTGTTGGAGGGAGAGACATCCTTTATGTAAGAGGTAGTAATTAATCGCAAATTACTATCTAACAGTAACGGATGGAGGTGGGTCTCCTTCTTAACAACAGTTTGGACATAGAGGAAGCTCTAAGACTAGAAAGTACCGAAATAACTTGCTAAACTTTTTGGCTCAGCTCTGGTACTCTCTTCGGTCCCAAGCTAATCGATTCACCCCTCGAAACATAGGAAAATCCACTAACTCCTCATTTTATATGTCAAACATTCATAGCGAATCAAAGCAAACATTGTGTAATAGTAGAATGGGGTACGTTAATCGTTTGCTTGAGACCAATAGGCTAGTCAAGTAGTGAGCCAATTTAATCGGTAGCTTCGTATTGATTGTTGGTTTGGAGCTCGTACCACCTACGACATTGTGCAACCTGGTTTATGCTATGCTATGCTAACTGCACACTTAATCAAGGCTTCCCTGGTCGGTATTTTTTTACAGTTAATTACTATCAGCTATAGACGTTTAGCGCACGCACACTACCCACATAAGCGCGAACCATAAATTGACCTTACCGATAATGGTTATAAATTGTTTATAATCCCTGCTAAACTTCAACTGAAATGGTTATGGAACTTTACATGAACGTTTAATGATAAAGTTTTAACCTTAAGTATTATAGCTTTTTGGAAGTGGACCTTACAAATAATGGGTTGTTAAGAACCATTAACATTCAAAATTCTTGTTTTCTCCATACATTTTCGGAAAGAAAACTATACTAAAACCTTTTAACTTATGGTTTGAGAACATTAATGGTAATGGTTATGGTAGCCAGTAAGGTCCATGAATGGTTTTGTAACATCGATCAACTTTATGTGGAATATATCGCGAATTGGTTGCCTGTAAATTACTGATTACCAATTCACGATATATTGAAATATTGAGCGATAATACAAGTAAAGTTGAGCGATAATACAAAACCATTAATGGACCTTACTGACTACCATAACCATAACCATTAATGTTCTCAAACCATAAGTAAAACCGTTCTAATATAGTTCTTTTTCCGAAAATGTATGGAGAAAACAAGAATTTGGAATGGTAATGGTTCTTAACAACCCATTATTTGTAAGGTCCGCTTCCAAAAAACCATAATACATAAGGTTAAAACTTTATCACACAAACGTTCATGTAAAGTTCCATAACCATTTCAGTTGAAGTTTAGCAGGGATTATAAACAATTTATAACCATTATCGGTAAGGTCATGTGATGGTTCGCGTTTATGCGGGTAGCGGGCCCGGGACATTGTTAGAGTATCCGAATCGAAGCAACCAGTGATTCCCTGTTCTAGTATATAAGTGATACCTGTAATAAAGAAAATTTTAGTCATTTGTCTACCGCTAAACCGTTCAGTCGAA